TGTTTTGTGATGAGAGTTTGTTGGACTTGCTGTTTTCTTTGATCAGTGTGTTTATTTTCTCTATGGTATCTTCAGAATCCGAGAGTCTTTCTTCTATCTCTAGTATTCTGCTGGTTATGCTCGTTTCTGTAGTCTCTATTCGTTTACCTAGATTTTCCATGTCCAGACGGCCCTCTGTTTGTGTTTTCTTCTTTGCCTCCATTTCAGTTTTCAGGTCTTGAACTGTTTCCATTATCTGTTTGATTGTTTTTCCTTGGTTTTCTAGGGTATCATTCACTGATTTATTCAATTCTTCAAACTTTCTGTTATATTTCTCATCCATTTCTATAAGGGCGTTTTTTACATGCTGTTTAAGGGTGTCAATCACTTTCATGAAGTCAATCTTTTCTCCTTCCTCTTGATTAAGGGGTTCTTGTCCTCCCGTTGTGAGGTCGCTTGTTTCTGGTAGCTTCATGTTGCTTTTCAGCTTGTTGGGCGAATTCTTGTCTTGACGTCGGCCCATCTCTTCTTCCAAATGCTCCCTATGGATCTTCTTTTACCGGATTAGGTCTCCTTGCCTACCAAACGCTGTCTCTCCCCAATGTTGACTCTCCCAATGCTGGGTCTCCTGGCGCCGAAAGATCAGGCCTCCGTGCTGGTTGGGCAGCTCGCAGACAAAGCGCCTACCCCGCTTGGTGCAGGCAGGCCACAGAAACAAAGGAACTGCTGCCCCCCGGGAGCCCCGGGTACTCGGACTCAGCGCCCAGATAGGCTGGGCTGGGCGATGCCACGCGCCAAAAGAGGGCAGTGGGGGCGAAGTGGGGAGGGCTCTGGACGGAAGCTGGGTGGGCCAGGAAGAAAGAGGCAGCACCCGGGGAGTAGAGGCCCTGCAGAGAGCCCAAGCAGGACAGGGGGCCAAGAAACCCCCGAGCTCCCCGTCCCAGGCTGGCGCCGTGGGCCAGAAACTCACCCCAATGCTGGGTCTCCTGGCGCCGAAAGATCAGGCCTCAGTGCTGGTTGGGCAGCTCGCAGACAAAGCGCCTACCCCGCTTGGTGCAGGCAGGCCACAGAAACAAAGGAACTGCTGCCCGCCCGGGAGCCCCGGGTACTCGGACCCAGCGCCCAGATAGGCTGCGCTGGGCGATGCCACGCGCCAAAAGAGGGTAGTGGGGGTGAAGTGGGGAGGGCTCTGGACGGAAGCTGGGTAGGCCAGGAAGAAAGAGGCAGCACCCGGGGAGTAGAGGCCCTGCAGAGAGCCCAAGCAGGACAGGGGGCCAAGAAACCCCCGAGCTCCCCGTCCCAGGCTGGCGCCGTGGGCCAGAAACTCACCCCAATGCTGGGTCTCCTGGCGCCGAAAGATCAGGCCTCCGTGCTGGTTGGGCAGCTCGCAGACAAAGCGCCTACCCCGCTTGGTGCAGGCAGGCCACAGAAACAAAGGAACTGCTGCCCGCCCGGGAGCCCCGGGTACTCGGACCCAGCGCCCAGATAGGCTGCGCTGGGCGATGCCACGCGCCAAAAGAGGGTAGTGGGGGTGAAGTGGGGAGGGCTCTGGACGGAAGCTGGGTGGGCCAGGAAGAAAGAGGCAGCACCCGGGGAGTAGAGGCCCTGCAGAGAGCCCAAGCAGGACAGGGGGCCAAGAAACCCCCGAGCTCCCCGTCCCAGGCTGGCGCCGTGGGCCAGAAACTCACCCCAATGCTGGGTCTCCTGGCGCCGAAAGATCAGGCCTCAGTGCTGGTTGGGCAGCTCGCAGACAAAGCGCCTACCCCGCTTGGTGCAGGCAGGCCACAGAAACAAACGAACTGCTGCCCGCCCGGGAGCCCCGGGTACTCGGACCCAGCGCCCAGATAGGCTGCGCTGGGCGATGCCACGCGCCAAAAGAGGGTAGTGGGGGCGAAGTGGGGAGGGCTCTGGACGGAAGCTGGGTGGGCCAGGAAGAAAGAGGCAGCACCCGGGGAGTAGAGGCCCTGCAGAGAGCCCAAGCAGGACAGGGGGCCAAGAAACCCCCGAGCTCCCCGTCCCAGGCTGGCGCCGTGGGCCAGAAGCTCACCCCAATGCTGGGTCTCCTGGCGCCGAAAGATCAGGCCTCCGTGCTGGTTGGGCAGCTCGCAGACAAAGCGCCTACCCCGCTTGGTGCAGGCAGGCCACAGAAACAAAGGAACTGCTGCACGCCCGGGAGCCCCGGGTACTCGGACCCAGCGCCCAGATAGGCTGCGCTGGGCGATGCCACGCGCCAAAAGAGGGTAGTGGGGGTGAAGTGGGGAGGGCTCTGGACGGAAGCTGGGTAGGCCAGGAAGAAAGAGGCAGCACCCGGGGAGTAGAGGCCCTGCAGAGAGCCCAAGCAGGACAGGGGGCCAAGAAACCCCCAAGCTCCCCGTCCCAGGCTGGCGCCGTGGGCCAGAAACTCACCCCAATGCTGGGTCTCCTGGCGCCGAAAGATCAGGCCTCCGTGCTGGTTGGGCAGCTCGCAGACAAAGCGCCTACCCCGCTTGGTGCAGGCAGGCCACAGAAACAAAGGAACTGCTGCCCGCCCGGGAGCCCCGGGTACTCGGACCCAGCGCCCAGATAGCGCTTTTGAAGTTTTTATCACAGCCATAAAGAAGCAATAGAGCACACACACTTAGGTTACCTTTCAAATGTACAGAAAACAAAGTATCCAGAGCACCTGTTTGCACAGGAGTCTCCAGGAATACCATTCACAAAGCCAGTACGACAGGAATAAACTCCAAGTTCTCTGTTCATTGTAGGGTCTAGTTTTCACCTCAGGCTGCAGTGTCTCTGACAGAAACACGGCAACCAAGGAAAGACAGAGAGAGAAACTATGCCAATATTGGTCCAGTTTCAACTTCCCTAGTATTCTGATACTGTTTACACATTAGTCAGATCCGTACTTCTGAGAGCATAAGATCTCAGAATATATTAGTGACAGCCATATAGAAAACACAAAAAAGAAAGTTCAAAGAAACAGGTAAAGTTAATTTTAATATTTTATTTAATACAAATTGCCCAATACTTTCCATTTTTTAACTTGTAAACAACAAAAGGAAATTGCTCATTACAGTGGTATTTTAGTTGGTTTTGAAATTTTGTGCATTATATAATGATGCAAACATTATGAAAAATGTGTACAAATTTGAAATGTTATATCACAAAATAATTATGACACATGAATTACAGAATATTTTAACATTCTTTTTCATATTAATTTAGAAATATAGTGTTACCACCAAAATAAAATTAATAAAAACAAATATTAACTGCCTTGCCATTTTCTTATTACATTTTGCTTGTAAAATATAATTTGAACCCAGGCAGTGGTGGTCCATGCCTTTAATCCTAGAACTTGGGAGGTGGAGGCAGGTGGATCTCTGGGAGTTTGAGGTCAGCCTGGCCTACAGAGTGAATTCCAGGATAGGCTTCAATGCTACACAGAGAAACTCTGTCTTGAAAAACCAAAAACTATATATATAGTTTTATACATTTACCAGTATCACTACTAAACACAAAATTCAATTACTCTTTTCTGTGGTAAGACTGAAACCGAGCAGGACCTCACTTTAAAAAGAAAACAATGTATAGAATTAAGCCATTGCATTTACTAATTTATTTCAATAGGACATTATATATAAATTATTACTTACAATCTATTCTTTTTGTTACTCAATGTCTGAAATGCAGTTGTTTTGGCATGTCAACAAAAGCTAATTGTGTATTTTTACCCTGACTTGTGATGCAGTATGCATTTAAAGAAATTAACAATATGAGTAAGATATTGTTATGTGTCTGTGTTCATGTGTTGGAGAAGGTGCATGCACTTGACTGTGTGTGCGCACACATGTGCTGATCCTCAAACATGAATGAGTAAAGTCAGTATCTGTTTTCTTTCTTCTACACATATTTTCTGAGGGCAGATCTCTCACTGAACGTTTAATGCACGAAATTGCTAGAATGTCTGGCTATGTAGCCCTAATGATCTTCCTTCCTCCACCTTTACTACACTGGAGTTACAAGTGTGCTCTTTAATGCTCAGCTTTTTACACAAATGCTAGGTTGGGAGCTGAACACAGGAGTGCTTGTGTGGTAAGCACATGGGTGACTGAGGCATTTCCTTAGCCCTGCGTAAATTCTTAATTACTGACTTTACATACACCATTTCTAAGTAATTCTAGGATGTGCAAACTGAATTTATAATGGTGTTATATTTTGGAGTTTAAAGTCAGTTAGACTCAGTACTCAAACAGGGCTAGTATGCATCATACCAAATGGGGCACAGCTAATGGAAAAGAGAAGCAAGCTGTATATAGGGAATGACTTATACAGCTAAGGAAATGTACAGGATTGACAGAACTGGGAGTGGAATAGGAGAACTACAGTAGGGGGAATATTATGGCAAGGATCCTAAGTCCCACCTAAAAATTCGTGTGACAAAGGCTAGATACCCAACTGAAGACTTCATGGGAAGTAGTGGAAACTTTACAGTTGGCCTACATCAAGGAATTGTCCAATTATAATTATGTTCTTGAGGTTATACTGAAACATCAGAGCCTCTGCTTGCCTGCTTTCCTTGTCTACTACTAAATCTTGGCGGTTTCCCCAAAGCAACCAAAACCGCCTATAGTAACTTAGGGGATGGAAACATTGTCTCATAAAAAAACCACCACCATATCCTCAAATATAGGCAGGAAAGGCTGTCATTGTTCTGATTTGTGTGGCGTACCAACAACTGAACCAACAGTATGAGCAGAAATATAGCAAACTAGGAGTTGATCATCCTGTATTACATGCACATCACTGTGATCAGTAAAATGAAATATATTAATAGTACACAAGAGATACACAGGAATTCTCGAAGTCCTCCATTTTTTTCTAAATTATTCTGCATACTAATTAGTTTATGTATCTATTTTCCTAAGTGTAATTTCCCTCAATGTAAGAACCTTATATATTCCATATATGAGTTTAGGAAATAACATTTAGTACTTAAGTACTACATATCATATTGAAATGGTGTAAGACTGTGAAATTTACTCTGGGTAAGTGATCCATTTCATGTCATTCCTTCCTGCTATCTGTAGCATCGCCTTCAGTTGTAGTTGTACAATGGCAAGCCGCCATCGGTCTAATCGGCCCTGAAAATGCCATCGTTCATAGCAATGTATAGGGATAGGATATATCACGTATTTTAGCCTCATCAAGGGTGTTAAACTATGCATGATATGCACAAGCATAGGCATTGTGATGGGGTTAGCAGCAAAGCCCAGGACACGGAGACGAGTACAACGAACTAGGGCAGGGATAAGAACAGAGATGGCAGAATCATTTATAAGGCAATGACTTATCTCTAGAAGCTTAAGAGTACCAGAGAGATTTAACAGAAGAGTTTGAAAGGGCACAAAGTCATTCCAATTCATTGTGTTGTTACTAAGATTCAACATCTTTAGGTGGGAAACCTGAGGGCACTGGGCTAGAAATCTGAAGTCTCTGTACGATATATCACAGAATGACAGATACAAAAAATCCAGGCTATGTGGCAGAACTCTGTAGGGAGAAAACAACAATAAAACTTCTGAAGAATGAGGATTAAATGATAAACACTATATTTTTATATCCAGAATAAACCACTTTTCACCTGCACTGTATATAAATGGGTATTAGTAAGTTAATCTTTACTTTGTTTGCTTAATAGTTTCATGACTCTGGAGAAAATTTTTTAGGCAGTAACTTACTATGTAGTCCTGGCTATCCTGGAACTCACGATAGAGATTATACTGGCATTGACCTCAGAGAATCTGCCTGTCTTTGCTTCCTGAGTGCTGAGATTACAATCATGTGCCACCACACCTGGCTGAGTTTTGTTTACAACACTGAGATACAATTTCTTTTAATATTAAGAATGTATAAAGTATATTATAATTGATGATTTGAAGAAATATTAAGAGAAAAACTAACACACTTGATACTTAAAATATTATCCACTGTAGATTTCAGTTCATGTTTTTAGTGGAAAGGGATCGGAAAGAGCAATCAACTGAAAATTACCTTTGGTCAGTCCCTAAATACCATCCTCCACTTTCATGGTCTATACCTTGGTGACTACAAATTAGTAAAGTGATCTGACATTGTAATCCATTGGCATCAGTGCAATAGAAAAAAGTCTTCCACCATCTCAATTCCTCTTTCTTCTCATATCTAGAGGGCTAGTGGTTTTTCACCTTCATATTTCTGCACTTATCTTTAAATTGCTGGCTGCTTAATTTTTGTAATTCCTCCTCCAGTTTCAAATTACCAAAAGTGACAAAGTGGAAAACATAAAAGGTTTTGAGGAGTTTAGGAATACCCATGAATATTTTCTATGTTGTCCCAAGACTTATCCAGGAAACCCAGAAACCTGCCCGAAACTCTTACCTGAGCACGCTGTCCAGATGGTTTTTGAGACAGAATGAATACAATTTGAGTTCCTTAAGGTTTTCCATACGTTGCAAATGACTAAGGAAATTTTTAAAGACTTTCCCACTCAGAGATCTAAAAGTGACTTTAAACAGACTAAGGCTCTTTAGGTGGCTCATCTGAGAAAGAACGTTGGTGATATCACTCAGTGAACCCTTATCAACTGACAGCTGATTAACACAGTTGAGATCAAGAATTCTCAGGGTGCATTTGCAGTCACCCAATTTATCAACTTGCAAATCTCGACAGCATATGTGCAAAGCACCGAAACTCTCCCTAATTTTCCTCATAAGCAACATCGAATATTCCCTTTCCATTAAAGAGGCATCCAGGGAAAGATCCACTAGTAATTCTATAGGCCTGGGTAAATGAATTGAGGACTCTAAATCTGTCAAACGAAACTGTCCTTCCATTTTCGTGACAGAGTGGTCAGAATAAGTACAAGAGTGAAAACAGAAAGGTGGGTTGATTCTGACTTCAGGGCATGTGATCCTACAGTCAATGTCTTGTCTTAAATCTAGGATCCTCAGTTTAGGTTTCCTGTAGGGGTAAGAGGAGATAGAACATCTAAGAAATAGCAAACGGTAATGAAACCCAGAAGAATCAATGATGACATATAGGAACAAATCCTTTTATCCATAGCTGGTACTCCTTGTACTAACTACCAACAAGTCTTTGCCATGAAAATTCATCTTCCTCTTCCCCATCCTTTGTACACCTTAAATACCCTCCAGTCTTAAAGCTCCTGTCTTTCTCTTAAGTAACACCCATTACATAAACCCATCAATAGAATCTTCAATATCAGATTTCCTAAGGTATATTGAGGACATCAGTCTTTAATGTGTTACCAAGTTTTAGCTGAGTCTTACAAATAAACCTTCTGCATTCACTAGTTTCTCCTTCTAAGACCTCCTTTGTCTTAACATATCTCTATTATACAGTCTTACCGAGAAGAAGAGTTCTTTGCAGGATATAGTGGAAGATTCTCAATCATGGCTTTCAGGAGTTCACGATGAGGTTCCCGTAGAGTTAATGTCCCAAGATGGAGACAGTAAAAGGGCCAAACTTTCACCATCTCACCCAATATATTCTTATGCCCACCCTTGAAGGCAGCAATGAACAGTGGAATAAAAAGATATCTTGGAATATACTCCAGAGCTTGGATTGCTGCAGACTCATGTCTCAGCAAACACTGTATAGCAAGATCCATCAGTGTTTTCGGGTTCTTTGCATCCATTTTTGTGAACCTGCATCAGGAGGAGAAACATTTAGAAGTTCTGGGAAAACACATATGGTCTTCTTTGCAACCCGTGCTAGTAAAGAAGAAATGATTTAAAAAAGAAATCAGGGGGCTGGAGAGATGGCTCAGTGGTTAAGAGCATTGCCTGCTCTTCCTAAGGTCCTGAGTTCAATTCCCGGCAACCACATGGTAGCTCACAACCATCTGGAATGAGGTCTAGTACCCTCTTCTGGCCTGCAGACATACACACAGACAGAATATTGTACACAAAATAAATTAATAAATAAATAAATAAATAAATAAATAAATAAATAAATAAATTTAAAAAAAAGAAATCAATCAGCCACCACCAGCTACTTCTACTATAGACACAAAATAGAAATAGACTCGTGAGTTTATAACTGTATGTGTTTATGTGTGTGTTACTACTCTCTCCCCCATGTATATATAGTCTGTATTTTGTAAAATGTCATCAAAATGGGTAGTAAGTAAGCAGAAAACAATTTTGGTCACTTATCTATATGAATCCCAGTATTTTCCCTCCCCTCAGTAGTAGATAAGCTATGATGAAGAAAAAGATAAATCTACAAAGTGGTACAATGGTAAATTTTAAAACATCAAATTAATTGTGATTAAAGAGAAAAAGAATGTCAATCTAGCCCTTGATTTTTCTCACTCCCATCACTATATTTGTGGCAGATGAAGACACCAAACGTCTACAAGATACACATGAAGGAAGATGGTTAAGAACTTAAAGTTGATCTTAAAAATATTCAGAAATATTAGTCATAAATTAATCCTAAAGATGAAAAAAACATAAAATCAAAATAATGCAGTACAGTTAGGGGCAAAGACTTCAAAACTGTTCAACTCAAAGCTGTATGTTGTCTCACACGTGGAAAGTAAAAATTAAATAGTCAATTTGATCATGGATAATGACTTCAAAACTCTAGGATAGGTGGCAGGGGTTGGGGTGACAAAACACAGTTAGATATAATTCCTGTAACCTGGAGGTTGGTATGGACATATTACAATGAGTCTTATTAATATGAATTATGAGTATGTGTTACAAAAATGCATATCAAATGCATATCAAATAAACAATATGGAGGGTTTAAGACTGCAGTCTTTGAAACACACAGACTCTGAGAAAATAAATTGATGTGGATAGGAGAAACATTCAAGTAAATTTGTTAATCATGGAAAAAGGCAAAATGGGGGGGGGGATAAGAATCCTGTAACACGTAAAAGAGTCAGAGAGCTCCTAAAATTTTTCTTCTACTGCCGGAATGACAACAAATCCTCTGAAATGCCTACATAGCACTGATAAAAAGAAAACAGCATGATAAATTAAAAAAACAACATAGTATCATATGAATACACAAAATAAGGAAAAATTTGAAGCAAAAACATTAAAACCATCAGAAACAAATTAACTGTTGCTTATCACCTACCTAATATGGTACTTTGCTACAGCATCTTGTACACTTTTCATGGCATTGTCTTTTGATAAAATAACTTGATGACTAAGATTTAGAAAGTGTTACACTTTCTTGAGGTTTCTAGGATTTCAATCTCAGGGACATGGCTAAGGGTCTTAAAAAGGTGGTCTTTTGTTGTAGCTCAAAGTGCAAGAGAGGGCAGTTGATTCCGTTTGGTGAAGAACTTTCTTATGTGTGAAGAAAAAGTCAGTCTAGAAAGGAAGGCACTGGGCAGTCTCATGTAACAAAGTAGCTGATTTCACACACTGTTACAAATGTTAGTCAAATGGATTCAAGAATTTTCTATTTAATGTTAGTGAAATGTATTCAAGAATTTGCTTTTTGCACTCTATTACCAGGTCTCCTGGTGTAGGAGGGTCTTCTATTGCTTATTTTCATTGATTAAATAAAGAAAACTGCCTTGGCTTTTGATAGGGCAGCCCTTAGGTGGGCATGGTAGACAACAGAATTCTGGGAGGAAAAAGACAGTCTGGCAGACACCATGGCTCTCCTCTTTGAGAAGAACACTGGTTAGACTCATGCCGGTAAGCCACAGTTAAGTGGCAAAACACATTAATGGAGATGGGTAAAAGGAATATGTAATAGTTAGCCAATAACAGGCTAGAACTAATGGGCCCGGCAGCAATTTAATTAATACAGATCTCTGTGTGATTATTTCAGGTATAAACTAGCCTGGTGGTGGGGACAGGGCCTGTCGCACCTCTTTACAACAGAGTGGCTGCCCAATGTGGTCTACTAACTCCACGTAAAACCTGAGAGTGCTTAAAAAGGAGAGAGAGAGAGTTTAACACAGCTTTTTGCTGTTTGTGGGTGGCATGCCACAGAAAGAATTCCTGACTCAGTAGCCTTACAAAAAAAGAGCCACACCATTTTAAAACGCAGCTTCCTGGGCCCTACTGCCCATGCAATCTCCAGCTATGGAGCATTTCTGGGCCCGGATGTTTCTGTGCCCACTCAGGGTTGAGAGGAAACTGGTTGAGACCATGCCTGTGGCTCAGCGCTCCCTGCTTGGGCAGGCGGCGGGATCAGGTTTACTAGGTGTGCATAACCAGGGGAGCATGGTGGATTCCTGCCACCATACACAGAGATGTTTTCAGGCTGCGCAGTGGTCTGCATGGCAGATTAGGCTCTAACTCAAATAAAAAGCTCATTCTCAGAGTTAAAGAGTCGAGTGTGGCTCCTACATAAAGGCAGGGGGAAAAAAGCTGCACAGTTTTAAAACACTGGCTTTCTGGGCTATGCTCCTACCGCAACCTCTGTTTCTCGTGGGAGACACAGAATTTGGATGGGGTTTTGTGAGTAAAGTGCTACAGCTTGCTTGATGGCAATGTGGACTGCTGTGTACCTGGAACTGTGCGCTGCTCAGGGGCACCAAATGGCTCTGAGGCAGGAGTGTCTCCTGCCATGCTGAACTGTGTTGATCTCAGGTAGAAAACAGTTTTAATTATCATAATAACAGTACAGTTAAGGTTTAGACTGGGCAGGAAACAGGTGGTACCGTATTACCCCTACATGGTGCAACTTAAGTTTTTAAGAAGTGCTTAGCATTTTAAGAAGTGCTCCTGGATAGTAAAGAATTACAGATTTACAATAGGACAGATTCAGACATAAAAGACCTCTAAATGGGTCATAGTGTTAGATAGACATACGTAGGCTTGGGAGAGAAAAGAAAAATAGTATTAAAATGTCATGAAGTAAAGTTAATGCTTTAGAAAAAGGGTAAAGTCTTTAAAGAGACAGAATAAAGTGATAAGAGTAAAAGTAAGCCACATAAAAATGGAAAATTCACAGACAATCTGGATTTTTTTGCATTATTGTGTTTTCTTTGAATTTTTTGACTGTAAAGGAGCTAAGTACAGAGAGACATTTCATCATATGGGCTGCCAAGCTAAACCAGAATGGATACCATAAGGGTATTATGACTTCAAATTTTGGGTCTAACAACATGATGCTTTGGAAAAGAGGTTCTTCTTTTGTTTTCACAGAGGATGAGACCCTGTGGATTGCTTCTATCCCAATATGGTATGACAGACCACGCCCTTCCTGAAACGTCATTGTGAACAACTTCAGAAAATAACTTCACGGAACTGCCGACTGAGATGAACCTGACACACAGGTCATATCATGAAAGACCTGATTATCAGCGCCCCCATACAGCATGAAGCAGTTTGGAGAGAAATAACTGCACCCATATTCCCAAATGTTGTTTATAAATGTTCTTTTACATTTAAAGTGGGATATGATATAGATATGAATAATTTTCATTGATATGAATCTTGGTTTATTGATACTAATTTAAGGTCAATCTTATTATGTGTATATGTATTTCTGCTCTTGATTAAGGTATTGTGATTGTGTAGTTCATTTAAAAATGTAACGTATAATTAGTAAACATAGGTTGTTAATGGATAATCATCAATAATAGTCACGCTTGTAGTCATGTTAATTAGATTTTCTAGATATAGAGAGGTATATTTTAGTTAAATAGGCATTCTTCATATCTTTCAAAGACTACAGAATATGGCATTTTAAATGTTTTAATAACTTAGGGCTTTTCATGACAATAAGACACATCTGCTCCTGGCAGCACCAGCTACTTCAAGAGGAGGATGGGCATTGAAGAGGCTCCTTATAGAATTTGCTAGCCATTTGGGCAAGAAACTGCTCTTGCCTGGACTTTTGCATAAACTGGACACAAAGATCCCACAGAGAGAGGACTACTGAACTTGCCTAAAGGTGAGATGATCTTTTGGGGTTCCTGGTTCATGAGAGGGTCTGTGAGACATTCTGCAGGATACAAAAGAAAGTGACTGAATTGTCTTTGAAATTTCTTGCTTCATGGAAAAGTCTGCTGGATACTATGGGCCTGAAGGCCAAAGATGGATGCCCCAACAGTACAAAAGAACTTTGGGTGACTGTCCAGGCAGTGAGATGTCTCTGTCATTTCTAGAGTTTTGGAAGTTGCTTACTTCTCATTTACTTTGGTAATATTATATCCTTCTGGAGTCTTTGATGAAGTTGAAGAATGCTTAGTTATAGTTATAGTTTTCCTTTGTTATGATTAAAGATAAACTAGATATAAATATTATAACTAATTTTTGCTTTATAACTCTTTTGTTATATGTAATTTTACTATGTTAAAGTTAAAGCCTTTCTTTTTTGTTTAAACAGAAAAAGGGGAAATGATGTAGGAGGGTCTTCTGTCTATGTCTTACTTTCATTGGTTAAATAAAGAAAATTGCCTTGGCTTTTGATAGGGCAGCCCTTAAATGGGCATGGTAGACAGAACAGAATTCTGGGAGGAAGACAGTGCGGCAGACATCACGGCTCTCCTCTCTGAGATGGATGCTGATTAGACTCATGCTGGTAAGCCACAGTCAAGTGGCAATACAGATTATAAGAAATGGTTTAGATCAATATGTGATAGTTAACCAATAAGGGGATAGAAATAATGGACCAGGCAGTAATTTAAGTAATACAATTTGGTGTGGTCAT